AGCCCATGGGGCATTGTCTCTGCTCGGTGTGTCACCCCGAACCAGGAGTTTGAGAACGCCGAGGGGGACGACTACGTGACAGAGCTGTCAGCCCAGGGCTCGCCTGCCCCCCAGCATGGCCCCGAGGTCTACGTGCTGCCCCTCACCAAGGTGTCCCTGCCCATGGCCAAGCAGCCGGGCCGCTCAGGTAAGCCAGGCCGGGGCAGGACCCCTGTATGCTGTGGTTGGGGTCTCTCATCACTGGGCATGTGGGGATGCTGGGTGTCCCCTGCAGTGGAGGGACAGCTCCAGCAGAGCCCTGGCAAGGGACAGGCAGCCGGGATCCCTGGGGAGCACTGCAGGTCCCCCTGTGTGAGGGTCCCTTGTCCCTCTGGTGTGTCCCAGCCCAGGGGAGCAGCACAGGGTGGGACAGGACACGGCCACCCTGAACGGTGACATCCACGCGTCCTGTCCCATGTAAACAAGGCCCTGAGTGGGAGAGGAATGTGGGGGGCGCCTGGCTGTGCCCCCTCCCACCCCGTGTCACTCCCTGCCCAAAGAATGGCCACAGAGGGGAGGGCAGGACGGACCAACAATGGCCCCATTGCTGCCTGCCCTTGGCACGGGCTCCCGAGGGGCCGGGCTGTGCCGGGGGGCTGGGAAGGGGCTAAATGCCAGCACTGTGCCGGGCTCAGCTCTGCACACCCTGCGGAGGAGAGGGGCAGGGACCAGCCCTGCTGCCATCCCGCCCGGGGACACTGATAGCCCACATCCCCTGAGCGTGGGAGGATGCCTGGAGACGAGCATGCCTGGGATGCAGGATTCCCGGGGAGGGATGCTCCGGGGCATCCTGGGGTGGCACCGGGTGGCACGGTGAGGACAGCAGGGCTTGGCTGGGACTGGTGGGGAGCACAGGCAGGGGGACAGGGGGATGTGTGAGCAGGGGACAGGGGGATGTGTGAGCAGGGGACATGGGGGTGTGTGGGCAGGGGACAGGGGGATGTGCGGACAGGGGGATGTGCGGGCAGGGGGACACGCGGGCAGCTGGATGGGCTCTGTTACAGTGCAGCTCCTCAAGTCGGCGGACCTGGGGCGGCAGAGCCTGCTGTACCTGAAGGAGATCGGCCATGGCTGGTTTGGCAAGGTGAGCCCAGGGCTAGGGACCCCCCCAACCCGGTGGGACACGGGGCCCCGGCTGTGCCAGGGGGGTTTGGGGTGTGGATGGAGGGATGAGCCTGTCCCTCACCCCAGGTGTTCCTGGGGGAGGTGAACTCGGGCATCAGCAGCACCCAGGTGGTGGTGAAGGAGCTGAAGGCGAGCGCCAGCGTGCAGGACCAGATGCAGTTCCTGGAAGAAGCGCAGCCCTACAGGTACCTCTGGGTCACTCCACAGTGCTGGGAGCAGGCATGCTGTGCCATGGGGGCAGATCCACCCTGTGCCATCTTCAGCTGCTGGGCAGAGCCGTGGCTGCCCCTTGCTCTGGGGCAGCACAGTTCTGTGGGGCCACAGCCATCCATGGGGCAGCAGTGAGATCATGGGCAGAGCTGGGCCAAGGGGGGGGCACAGAGCTGCTCCTGCCCCAGCACAGCTGAACAAATGTCCCTTTGTGACACATCCCGGGCGCTGGGACGTGCTGGTACCCGCTCCCGGCAGCCCCTGTGGTGCAGGCAGGACGATGGCTCCTGGGGCACTGCTGCCATTCCCCTGGCACAGGAAGGGCAATGGGCACTGCTGCCATCCCCCTGGCACAGGCAGG